TAATAAGATCGTGTATTCAGTGCACATCTGAGGTTGAATAATAGAATGAATGACTGAAATTTGTGCAAGCTATGTAATTTCAATTTATTGGAAAGGTTCATGCTAAAGCTTATGAATATTTATGAATTTATTAATAATGCAGTACATTAATTTGATGCTCAACATACATAGTATCTTTTTTTAATTCTTGTTTTTTGTTGTTGTTTTTTTTTTTCAGGTAAGCGGTTCAGAGAGAAACACTGGTGTTGGGCTCTTAGCCCATCATTCTCTCTTGGCATGCTGCTAAACTCTCTTTTTTGTACTTAATTGTTTTGATAAATAAATAAATAGTTTCAATTAAAATAAAAAGTTGAATAATACCCAATTCACGCGACAGAGAGGTACTAAATTTTAACAAATTTTATCAGGGTTATTATCAGTAGGATGTCTTTTATCATAATTATTACTACCATCATAAAGTAACATAACAAAGTTATGCTATATTACAAAATTGTATAAATAAGTTATTTATTTATTTAGCATCCATTCAAATACAACACTTTACAAAATAAAGACATACAAAGAACAGATAAAAATTTCCAGTAAAAACGAAGAATGGATGCATGGACGACCCATAAAAATCAACTAAAGTTGATTTATTTCCAGTGGGGTCCAAAGCAAAACATCAGGATCAATATATAAAAATAGAGGCCCAAATATATAAAAGACGGTACGATATTTATGAAATAAGATAATAAAAAAATAAGAAATCTTGAATTATAGAGACTACTATGCTATGTGATTTACCAACTCATCCCACACAGTGGGTCTTTGCATTTCATTATGGTATGGCCTTCAGAAGAATAACGTTTTAAACATATTTGTGGCAAAGAAAAACAAACCAAACCAAACCAATCACTTGTCGCAAATCCCGTTTCCGAGATAATGTGCAAAACACACTGGAATGTCAACATTTTAAAAATATATTTTATTGTACTAAACTAAACTTTATTTATATATCATGCTATGCTATTTTTTTCCTGATTTTCAATGTTGTTTCTGCCTGAGAAATGCAAGAAATCATACACTTTATAGGCTGATTTCTCAACTATTGTTCTTTAAACAGTTGTATGAAACTCCTGTAACTTCATAACAAAATTTTAGATGTAAATTATTATTTAACCATATTATAGCGCTCATTTTACTGTTTAACTTTATTAATAAATAAAAACTGATTTTTGCGATGAGTGACTGGTTTGGCTTGTCTTTGGCACATTTATCCTTTTTAAATATGGTTGTAAATATATATAATGAAGGTGGTGATAAAAGGATGTGCTCCTTACATTTAATATTTTAGTATTTAAACTGTATAGTTTAATTATCTAATAATATTTTTGGTAAAATTATTTAAATCTCTCAGACAAGTACTTTATACCACTCAGTAAGATTCATTTTCCATCCTGTTGTATTGATATGTAAAATATTTATACTGAATAATGTATTTATTCTGAAAATCTGGTTATCTAATAGGAACTTGACTGTGATTTATTGCAATAATCACCATAACAACAGATTTTCAGTCTTGTACAGCGATGATCTTTTAATGGGTGTTGTCAATGCACTCTGAGCTTTTTATAATTTTGTTCGTGGTTGCCATGTGAGCATATGATCAAATCTCAACACTCAATTCTACCACTATATTTACCTGTCATAAAACACACCTTAAAACACTTCTTTTGAATCTCAAACCAAAATTTGATTTAATCTGCAAAAAAGAGAGTAAATTAGAGTATGTTTGGATCTGCTTATACATGTCAATTTTGCTTGTATATATCTCTTCTTTTTTTTTTTAAATTTTGATATCAGACCTGATCAGGGGCGGATCCAGAAATGTCCAAAAGGGGGGGCCGGAAGCGGGGGCCGATTGAGACAACACTGTCGTAGGGGGTCTGGGGCATGCCCCCGCAAAATGTTTGTGTTCTAGACGCACGAACATAACATTTGAGGCATTCTGGGCTATCAGTTTTTTCTTTTTCTCTCTTTTTTTCCCTTTTTTTTACCTCCCAAAAGGGCCCCCCTAAATCCGCCCCTGCTGATGTTACCGTCAATATTAACAAGAGGTGGTCACACAGTATTTAATTGATTTATAAGCCATGAAATACTCACACCTACATGGCGCCACTTCACAGCCTGTCAACAGTGCAAGCTGAGGTAACTAAGCATGGTTGGCCGAGAATGGTCAGTGTGTAGTTCGAACCCCCGACAACAAGGTTCAGAACCTGAATGGAGATTGCTGCACCAAACTACCCTCGCAGTAGGACACACCAGATTCTATAAAATATCGAAACACTATGCCACCTAAGGTACATATGCACTAGTGGCAGAGACAGGGGCATAAACACCTATCAGGGGGCATGCCCCAATCAAACACAGTTCAGATGCAATTTGTTTTTCTTAGTGCCATGTGTATCTTGTTTCAGTTTTAGATATACAGTTGTAAACTCTATTTTGACTCAGAAAAAGTATGAAAAAAATTCTTGCCTTACAGTATACTTGCTTTGTTAGAGCAGATTTAAAAATAGAAATAGACTTTAGTTGAATTCTGTTGGGAGCACCACATTAATCTCTGTAAGTCTTTTTATTATCATTATCTTTTTATTACTTTCAACATTATTAATCTTATTGTTATCTATTAAATTTTTGTATTGATTTATGTTCGCATACCTTTAGATATTTATAGGTAGCCTGGAAATATCACATATAATTTATTTACCGAGTTGATCAAATTCCAAGTCGTTTATTCTATTTAATAATCAACATAATATTGCTTATGTAACTTGGTGCAGCTCTTTTGTCGGGGTATGTAAATCAAAAGAATCTCAGGCGACTCCTTTCGAGCAGTTGCTGGTCCCACAGCTCATTACGAGGATAAAAAAGTAAGCATCATTACATACTTTTCAATGATTTCTGGTGATGCTTACCTAGAAATGATGTGTGTGATTAGAAACACTTGAAATTAGAGAAGATTTATGTCTGTTTCCATTCTCCTTCAATTAATGTACTATTTGCATTCAATTTGAGTTTTGATATTAAAAAAATGTCATTCAGTTCCAGTAATTTTTATCTTAGTACTCATTTTTTTTTTCTTCTGTAATAGGAATCTTCCAATTTGATTGCTCACTTGTTTATTACTTTTTTAATTTCTGTTTTTTAAACTGATACATGTAGTGAATGCCAATTAAATTTGCAGTGCGGGAAACAAAATTTATGCCTCCGGCCATCTTTAAAAATTGACTCCAGGACCATCTGTACATTATATAACCCAACAGCGGCATTCTGGAACTCCCCCACCCCCTCCCCCTCGCAAAAGAAAAAGGGAAATGTGCAATTTATATAGCCCTACTTTTTGGTGAAAGAATACCTAACAAAGGTGTACTCATTCATTTTGAGGTTATTTAATTATTAATTAATTGAATAAGTCCTACTCAAATTGAGTATTATAATACACAATTTGAGTAGGACTTTTTATTCAATTAATTTATTTATTCAACGATATTTGATGAGGGAAGCCTGCGATGCCATTAACATTGTCATTAGCCTCATTTATGTTGAACATCATGACATCTACAATTATCTCCTGATGTGAAATTCAATTATGAAATTTGCAAACTCTTCACATTGAAGTTGCATTGTGATTTTAGTATGTTAATGAGGTTCTTGAAGCATGTCTGTCTTGCATACCCTCTATCCATTAGTCGATTAGCAACCATTTCATGTAATTTAGCATTGACTCAGCTCATTTAGTCTTCTAACTTCTCTTTGCCTTTTTGATTTATTTCTTCAAATTCCTCTCTTACATAAACCTGCACTTCTGCCTAGTAATAATATAGATGTAGACTTATTTATTCTGTTTTCAAAATCACACAAAATATTATTAGATTATACATCACACAAGATAGTTTTTTTGACCAGCATTTGACCTGAAGAGGTCACTGCTTATAATTGCATCCATCTGATCAGTTGGATTTTTTCTATGTTTAAACAGGATCTAATATATCAACATCCAATCCTATATCCTGTTGCTGAATATGAATATCACGTTAGGGTACGTTACCGCGATATTGAATATCATGGGTTTATCCTTTTGAAGGGTCATGTAGAACATCACGATATTCAGTAACATGTTAAAAGATTAAAGTGAATTAGGTGCTGATAGAGAATTTCACCATTGAGAATTGCCCAAACTAGGCATTAGACACGATTAACAAATTTTAATGCTGCACAGAACTGCTTGCAGAAAAAAAAAAAATGTGTTCACATCTCTTGCTGGTAAGACATTTTTGAAGCTAATAACTGTTAATTAAGTACTGTAGGTATTTGTGATAAAACAACATGGTAAAAATTCTCTAATGGGATGGGAAATGCCACTCTAAACAGTCCATGAATATGCCAAACCTAAATATATTTGCTCAAGTAAGTACTACGGCACTTTATTAGAAATATATTTTGTAGCTTTAGTTTGAGAAGACTTGTTCAACCACCGGAATAGGCAAGCCTCCCACTCAAACCAGCACTGATATTATGGCTGTAGGTTGTAGTGGCTTTTGCCTTTACTTTTAGACCTATCCACTTGCCAGACATACATCCTGACAGAATGAAGTATTCAGACAGTATTCTACATACCTGTGCGGCTACTTGAAATAAAGTACATCAAAACTAATGTCACTTTATGTGAGTATGTAGAGAAGTTCCCTTGGGTCATAGGATTCAAAGGCCGTCATGTGCAACATGAAAACATGCCCATTTCAGTTGGACAGCACAGACTAATTCTGAGACCGGCAGATAACATGCTTTTCTGAAGCACAGGAAAATAGCCAGCACATAATGTGAACCTTTGGTCTTTCAATTGAAAGCTGTTCAGGTTTTAACTAACGTGCCCCTAATAAATATTCATTTTAGATGGTAATGACCCCTAGGTTGTTGATTAATTCATCAATTAATTTTTCTTACATTATTTTTAGACTTGGCTTGAAGCATTACGAGAAGTATTCTAGCGACAATAACCGTACGTTCCAGTTACCTGTTGACGCAAGCAATCTCTACGGGATTTACTCTACGTAAGTTAGCTTCATTTTTCAGTGTGCAATGAACCCCATAATTTGTCAATGCTATCAAGTAAATTATCTTGCGTGTACGGTATCACCTTCGGTTCTAGTGTGTATTAAAAAAATAACTTCATTTATTCTGACCATTTACAATTATCTAGAGTGGAGCAGCTTGGTGGTTGGTTGGTGGTTAAAGTGCTTGCCTTCCAGTGCAAGGTCCTGGGTTCAAATCCTATAAGGAAGAAACAACTTTATATAATTTTTACATCATTCCATATTGTAATTGGGGTCTATTTAGTTTTATAAATAGAAATTAAAATAATGTTCCTTTATGACTTTCTTTGCAAGTGTAAAGGGGGGGGGGGGGGATTGGGTCTTTATCTTTTTGGTTTTTGGTAATTCACTTTGGCTATGTTCTCACACGGCTGCTAACGGTTAGCAGGATCCGGATCCTGCTAACCGTTAGCTGCCGTGTGTCCATACGAGAAAATCCTGATCCGGATACCAAAAATATGATGATCGAATCACTGGCCAATAAGAAACTGGAAGTTGTAAACGCATACGTGTGATTGGTTGATGACACACTCAACTTGCTAACCGATAGCGCTTGCTAACGGTTAGCGCTAACCGATCGGGCGCTCTCACGCAGGTGCTAACGGTTAGCGCTAACGGTTAGCTCCTGATCCGGATACTAGGGCTCTCGTGAGAACCAGGCTTATGTTGATGATGTTTTCAGACTTGTTCTTGTACCTCCTGTCCTCTCAATACTTAAAATGAGCATGCGCATTATTCAAATTATTATTATTATTATTATTGTTATTATTGTTATTGTTATTGTTAATGTTATTATTATTGTTATTATTATTATTATTATTATTATTATTATTATTATTATTATTATTATTGATATTGTTATTATTACTACTATTGTATGTTATTGTAATGCTGGTGAATGCAAATTCCACTAAATCCATGAATGGCCAAAGGTTAAACAAGTAAATGAAGATTAAACAAGTAAATGAAAATTAATGATGGCAAGATGAAAAAAATAGGGTGAATGAACAGATTAATCAAAGAGAATAAAGACATATGATATATCAGTTGAATCTACAGTATCAACAAACATACTATAAGGGGCCATCCATCTTTCTTCATCATTTTTAAGAGAGCATCATATATCATATCATTTATTTTGCCTTCTAAAAATAAAATACAAAGTGATTCAATGAGACAGGATTACCTAAATGTTATAAAAACAATCAAGAGGTTCTCCACAAAGAAAAACATAACATAAAAAATGCATGCACAATACAGATATTAAGATAATATTAAAAATTGCCTTGAGCATTTCTTTAAAATACTGTAGATGTGAGGACAAATCTTATTTATTATTATTATTTTTATTATTTATTATTGTTATTATTATTGTTGTTTTTATTATTATTATTATTGTTATTATTATTATTATTATTATTGTTAATATTATTGTTATTATTATTATTATTATTATTATTATTAAAATGAAATATACTGCACAGTATATTGAGAGATCATAATAAACTTGGAATGAAGAAGTATGAATGATGATGTGGAAATTAATAATAATTAAATGGGTTGTAATTTTTAAGTTGGGTAAGGTGATGTTTTAGGTGAACCTACATTCATCCATTGATTCCATCTTCATCCATTGATTTTTGCAATCGTGATTCAAGTAATTCAATGAGACATGATTACATAAATGTTATAATCATAACAGTCAAGAGGTTCTCCACAAAGAAAAGTGTAACATAAAAAAGGACATGCACAATACAGATATTAAGATAAGACAAAAAAAACATGCATTAAAAGTTTTAATTATTATTAAAATTAAATATACTGCACTGTTATTGAGAAATCATAACTCAGAATGAAAAAGTATGAATGATTATGTGGAAATTAATAATAATTGAATGGGTTGTAAATTTTAAGTTTGGTCAG